CGGGGATCTGTGCCTGCTCTCTTGCGGGTGTTGCAAAATTGTACCATCCCAGCCCTGCTTCCTCCCCGCACTCCACCCCACCCCAGATCTCTGCTCACCAGACTCATCTTTTCATCCCTTTTATTCTCCGGGCTAAGCTTCGAGAAATGAAACTGCCTTTCAAAAGCAGTCTGACTTAGGTCAGTAGTAGTGTTATCAGGCTGATATATCTTTTTTTCATAGCTAGGGTTTTCAGGACTGCAAAGAAAAGGAGGGGGAAAAATGATCTTGACTCTGTACAATCAGAACTATACCATTCAGTAACTCTGAAAATTAATACAGCAAACTCAATACTCACTTTATGAAAAGGCAAGACTGAGTGGACTCACTTGGCAGCTGTCCATCAATCAGTCTGCCCCACCGAAACCCATGCTGCCACAACCCCAGGTAGAGTGTGAGTCACGGCACCCTTCTCCAGCTGTGGTCAAGGCACATGGGCCAGGCCTCAGTCCCTAGAGTTGTAACTGGGACATGGGCTCCGAGGCAGCCTCGGATGCTCAAACCAGAATGTCAGGCAGGACTGGGGCACCGTTTTTCCAGCACACACAGAAGAGCAGAGAAAGACGGCGTACAGAGAGAGAGAAAAGAAGCAGGTTCACAAAGAGAAGCCATGCTGAAAGCTGCGTAGTCCCAAAGAGGAAAGGACTGGCCTCTTCTTGGTCCCTCAAGTGGCCCAGCTGTGTTCCTGACTGCTGTGGTCTAAATGTTGTATCCTCCCAAAATTCATATGTTGAAGCCTGACCCAATGTGATGGTATTTGGAGATGGGTGGGTCTTTGGGAGGTGATTAGGTCATGAGGGTGGAGCCCTCGTGAATGGGATTGGTGCCCTATAAAAGAGGTCTCAAAGAGCTCCCTCGTCCCACCATGTGAGGACACAGCAAGAAGGTGCCGTCTATGAACCAGGAAGCAGGTCCTCACCAGACACCAAATCTGCTGGCACCTTGATCTTGGACTACTCAGCCTCTAGAACTGTGAGAAATAAATTTCTGTTGCTTATAAGCCACCCGTTCCTGGTATTCTGTTACAGCAGCCAGAACAAACTGAGACACTGATTGTGGCTTCCGTGACAGACTGGTACTTTCCAACATACCTAGGCTCCCCTCCCCCTGCCTTTGTACTTGAAAACCATATGACCTCGCTTTTTATTAATCAAACGACCTCTAAGACAGCCACCTTGCTCTTAAAACCTTTCCTTACTCTATTGAACGGCCCTGTGAGGCACCTCTGGGTGTGTCTCTCAGAGGGTTCCCCAGGGCTGCCCTCATTCCTGCCCTGGGAAGCTCAGGCCTATCCAGGGACATAAGCCTTCTCCTTCATTCCCCCATTCATCCGTTCATTCAGCAAGCATTAACTCATCCTCTACCGTGTTCTAACTACGTAAGTGCTGGGAACACCAAGATACGTGAGGCACAGTCCTGCCCTCGAGGGGCTTGCTGTAGTGAGGAAAGGCAGATGGGAGGTGTAGAGGTATATCACCATGTGAATTCCCACTCTCACCTGCATCGGGATGACCAGCAATAAACAGAAATCGCAAAGGCACGAAACAACCTGGCAGGTAGTGAGTTGTAAATGTGCTGACTTAACCCAGAGATTTTTGTGGTTTATTTATATTTCTTTTCTTTAGAAATATAAGGGAATTTTTTTTAGACAAAACCAGAAAAAGTGACAGGGCCCAGAGAGCACCTTATGTGTTATGTTAAGGAGTCTGGACTTTATTGTAAGGGTTATGGGAAGCTATTAAGGGTTTTCATTGGAGAGTGGAGGGGGTTGACCACTTCAAAAAAGATTCTCAAGCTGCTACATGAAGAGTCCATTGCAGGAGACCAGACTAAAGGGAGGAATATCATTTAAGGAGCTGTGATCACAAAGGCAGAGAAAGGAGATGAGGAAATAAAGTTTTTGTCTTGCTAGGGGATAGGGAGTTATATAATTATTGGTGTTAAATAAAAATGTTTGTTAAAATTGATAAAGAAACCATGAAACCAAAAGTAGAACATAACACTTCCAAATACTAGGGGAAACAGAAACTAACATTGTTTATTCCAGCAAAACTCAGGATGGAGGATGAGAGGTAAACATCAAGAGAAGCATGACAGGACTTTCCATTTTTGTGTACGATTTAGTTTGCATAGGCCAACAATCCTGCTCCAGCAAGTAGAAAACACCAGAAAACTTACCAAACAAAATCATCATTTTAAAGTCATTGGATAGCTGTGGAAGCAATTCCAGAGAGGAGAGGACCCTTCTGGAATGAGTTGGCATCTCTGGCTATTTTCCATGTACCAACATCAGGTACCAAGGCAAAGACTGATGCCTCCATGCTCCCAGCGTTATCTGGTGGATTTTTCCTCCCGGACTGGTTGCTTTCCTGGCAGGTAGGCAGCTAACCTTGTTCTCTACACCTCCCTCCCCATGGTGGGCAATTTTAGAAGTGCATCTGGATAGGTTAGAGACCCTCCAAGGACGCTGAGGATAGGCAGCCTTCCCCAAAACCTATCTGAAAAAGAACCAAATAAAATGCTAGGACTATAAAAATAAAACTGCTGAAAATAAGAACTCAATAGATGGGTTTAACAATAGATTATTAGACACGACTGAAGGGATAATTAGGAAATTATCTAGAATCAAATATGGAGAAACAAAAAGAATGGACAAATACACAAGAAAGGGCAGGAGCCAATGAGGATACAGTGAGAAAAATCTAGAATGTGTTTAACTGGTGTATAGAAAGAGAAGAGAGAGAATAAGGCAAAGGTAACAGTCAAAGAAGAAATGACTGAGAACTAACTACCCAGAACTGATTTCTTTCTTTTTTATTAAAATTACTGGGGTGACATTGGTTAATAAAATCAAATACATTTCAAGTGTACAGTTCAACAGTACATCATACATATATTGCATTGTGTTCACCACCCAAAGCTAAATTTCCTTCTGTCCCCAAATATTTCACCTCTTTTTCTCCTATCTCCCTCCCCCTCCCCCTTCCCTCAGCTAACCACTCATCCACTGTCTGTGTCCATGAGTCTCTGTTTGTTTCTCATGTTCTTGTTGCTTTCAGTTTTATGTCCCACATAGGAGCGAGGTCGTATAGTTTTCAACTTTTTCTGTCTGACTTATTTCACTTAGAATGATTATCTCGAGGTCCATCCATGTTGTCGCAAATGGCAGTATTTCATCTCTTCTTATGGCTGAGTAATATTCCACTGTATATATGTACCACAGCTTCTGTATCCAATCACCTATCATAGGACACTTCGGTTGCTTCCATGTCCTGGCCACCATGAATAATGCTGCTATGAACATCAGGGTGCATATATCTTTACGGATAAATGTTTTCAGGTTTTTGGGGGGTAAATAACCAGAAGAGGGATTGCTGGGTCATATGGTAATTCCATTCTTAGTTTTTTGAGGAGCCTCCATACTATTTTCCATAGTGGTTATACCAATTTACATTCCCACCGGTAGTGTGTGAGGGTTCTTTTTTCCCAACCACCTCTCCAGCACTTGTTATTACGTGTCCTGTTGATGATAGCCATCCAACAGGTGTGAGAGGGTATCTCATTGTGGTTTCGATTTGCATTTCCCCAATAACTAGTGAACGTGAACATCTTTTCATGTGTCTGTTGGCCATTCGTACGTCTTCTTTGGAGAAGTGTCTATTCAGGTCCTCTGCCCATTTTTTAATTGGATTGTTTGTTTTTTATAGTTGAATTGTATGAGGTCTTTATATATTTTGAATATTAGGCCCTTATGGGAGGCATCATTTGCAAATATATTCTCCCATTCAGATGGTTGCCTCTTTGCCTTGTTGACAGTTTCTTTTGCTGTGCAGAAGCTTTTTAGTTTGATCGTTCCATTCATTTGTTTTTGCTTTTACTTCCCTTGCCTTTGAGGCCAAATTCATAAAATCTTCTCTAAATCCAAGTTCCAAGAGTTTAGTACCTGTTTTCTTCTATGCAATTTATTGTTTCAAGTTCTATATTTAGGTCCTTGATCCATTTTGAGTTTATTTTGGTGTATGGTGATAGTTTCATTCTTTTGCAGGTGGCTTTCCAGTTTTCCCAGTGCCATTTATTGAAAAGGCTTTCCTTTCTCCACTGTGTTTTTGGCTCCTTTGTTGAAATTAATTGCCCATATACATGGGGGTTTATTTCTGGACTCTAAATTCTGTTTCATTCGTCTGTGTGTCTGTTTTTCTGCCAGTCCCAGGCTATTTTGATTACTGTCATTTTGTACTATAATTGGAAGTCAGGTAGAGTGATACTTCCAGCCTCGTTCTTTTTTTTCTCAGGATTATTTTGGCCGTTTGGGGTCTTTTGAACTTCCATACAAATCTGATGATTTTTGTTCTATTTCTTTAAAAAAGGTCATTGGGATTTTGATGGGGATTGCATTAAATCTGTATAATGCTTTAGGTAATAAGGTCATTTGAACTAGATTGATTCTTCTAATTCATAAACATGGAATATCTTTCCGCTTCTTTGTTTGTTCTTCAATTTCATTTAATAATGTCATAGTTTTCAGTGTATAAGTCCTTCACATGTTTCATTAGGTTTATTCCTAGGTACTTTATTCTTTGTTTTCCAATTGCAAAAGGGATTTTTTTTTCTTTTTCTGAAAATTCATTGTTAGAGTAGGAATACTATGTATTGTTGAACACTGATTTTATACCCTGAAACTTTGCCGTATTTGTTTTTTATTTCTAATAGTTTTTTAGTGGAGTCTTTAGGATTTTCTATACAGAGGATCATGTCATCTGCAAATAGTGACAGTTTGATTTCTTCATTCCCTATTCGGATGCCTTGTATTTCTTTCTCTTGCCTGACTGCTCTAGCTAGGACTTCCAATATTATACTGAATAATAGTGGTGACAGTGGACAGCCTTGTCTTGTTCCTGATCTTAGTGGGAAGGTTTATAGTTTTTCACCAGTAAGTATGTAAGTAAGTATGATGTTAGCTGGGGGTTTGTCCTTATTGTGTCTTTATTATGTTGAAGTACTTTCCTTCTATACCTGTTTTATTAAGTATTTGCCCAGAACTGACGAAAACGTCACTTTACAGATACAAGAAGACCCATGAATTCCAAGTAGACCAAATCAAAAGAAATCCACATCTAAAAACATGTTAAAGCCGCAGAAAATCAAAGACAATTAGAAAACTTTAAAAGCATCTAGAGAAAAAGACAGTTATCTTCAAAGGAACAACAGTAAGACTGCAGCTGACTTCTCAAAGGAAAGCGTAAACAACAGTGGGCTACGCGTTGAAAGGAAGTAACTGTCAGCCTAGCATTCTTCATCCCCTGAAAACATCCCTCAGGAGTTAAAGTCAGATCTGGGAAAGGCTACATACTGTGCGATTCCAACTATGTGACATTCTGTGAAGGGCACAACTATGGAGACAGTAGAAAGATCAGTCAGGCAGTCAGTTCATCTTTACCTGCATTTACTGCGAGGCTTGTGTCTCACAGGTGTCGCAGAGGCTTTATGCCGCTCCTTTGGAACCGCCCTGTGTCTACTGAACGTGAACTGGGGCAACTTGGCATACACCCCGGCCTTCTCTATTTCTTTCAATTCTTTTAAGGTATATTGTTTTCCTACAGGAAGATTAAAAAAAAAAAAAGTTTAAATCACTCTTAAAGTCAAGTCCGGTTGCTCTTGGGGTAGGAAGTTGTTTAACAATTGGAAGTCTAAAAATAAAGCCCGGCGATCACAGAGTACCCGTCTCGTATTGCAGAACGGCTCTCCTCTCTTCATCCGTCTCTTTCTGTCTTCTAGGCAGAGGATCGTGAAATGGTGGGACTGCAACCTACAAGAAAAAGTCTCTCTAAGGACCCGAGTGCAATTTGTATTACGCTTTTTACCCAGTCTGAAGCACTCAGGTGTGGCCCGACTGTACACCTTGAATAGGAACCCACAGAGGAAGGGAAGAATGAATGTCACTTGCTCACATTGGGAAATCCCACTGAGGCTTCAGTGGCTGAATGGAGGGAGGACTGCCCCGAGAGCAGAGACACGCTTCTGCCCAGAGTTCCTCTGAACCACTGCGTCGGTCAATAAGCATTTGCTGATGCCACTGCGTGCCACATCCCAACGAGGCGCTGTCCTCAAGGATCTCCACAGACAGGTCATGCACAATGACAGTCTGGTCATGAGAGGCAGCAGCTCAGGGTGCTTTAGGAGCACCAGGCAGCACTCCGAAGTGGCCTGGGAGGGACAGCGCCTCCTGGGAGGGCTGACAGCCCATTTAGGGGCTCATGATAACGGGAGGGCAGGTGGGGACCTCGGTGCCGTGGGTGTCAGGAGCCAGGGTATAGAGGTCGTGGACAAAGGTGGTGTTCTCTCTCCCCTTCTGATTATCGGCTTTAGACGGAGGGACCGTTTCCACCTTCTTTACTCCCCCACACACTTCACCTTGACCCAATGCTTCTTTCAAGGTAAACAATTACTGAATAAGTGAGGCTGCACAGTGACTGCCCAACACCCTACTTAGCAAGTCTCCCACAGCCAAATGAACCTTCTTGCCTTCGTAACAATGATCTGTGTTGGTTTTTGGGGCGAAGCAAAATAAACCACTTCTCTCTTCAGAGCCACACACATTTTTTTTTTTTTAAATGAACAGTAATATCAGGCAGCTACTTCTGCTACACAGGAGTAAAACACGGAAAACTTTAGCTCATATGTCGGCAGTTTAAAAGGTGAAGATTCATTACAAATTCAACCACTGCCTGCCTGCCTTTCCGCCATCCCTCCTTCCACCTCCACGAGAAAGCTCTTCCTCCTGAGCCATTGCTCCCTGCGTGGCTTCTGTGACACACTTGTCACACCCCACTGCACTCACTGTCTTCCTCTCCCTTCTGGGCTTCCAGTTTGCTGGATGCGGGGGATGAATGAATGAACGAATGAATGGACATGCCTTGCTCACAATGTAAATTCTCCAGTAATTGAAATTACTTTGGATTCCCATTCTAAAACTCAGGGAAAATGCTTTTGTGGCTTTTTTTAAAAATGAATACAGAGTAACTACAACTCTTCTAAAATGACTAGGTTTTCTGCAACCTCAGAGCTTCTAAGAATAAATAAATAAAAGTAAGAAACTTACTTTTACCTTTCCATAATTTGGGTCTTTTTTCATCATATTAAAAGGATTATATACTTCAGGATCATAAAGGTCTCCAAATACAATTGCCTTTGGGGGGGGCGAGGGGGAAGTATGCCTAAGAGCGAATCACTACATACAAATGTGTTTTGCAAGATTCAAGAAAGCTGAGTATTTTATTCCATTTTTATATAAAAATCAGAGATTCAAAGGGCTCAGAGAAACCTCAGAAGCATATTAGGCTGAGGTGAGAGTCCACCACCTTCCAGGTGAAGTGAGCATCCAACTTCAGTCTGAACTCATTGATTAGCCTTAGTCTGAGAACTTCTGTTCCATTAGGCAGGTACTCTCTTGATCATTCTAACTGCTGGGAAATTTGTCCTTAGACAGAGATGAATTGAAATCTGTCTTGTCACTGCCAGGTACAGATACTAGTTCTTGCCCCTGAAGCAGCACAAAATCCCTCTATCATCCACATGCCAATCTCTTAAATATTTAAAGGTTTCATTCCCCCTATGTCATCTCTTTCTTGGGCTAAATACCCCAAACTTCTTTCTACTTTTTCTCCCAGGAAGTGTTGTCAAGCTCCCACCCCACCCCACTAAAGTTTCCACAGCTGGTGAATGTCCCTTCTAGAGTGTGAATCAGGAGTGACGAGATCACAACAGCGTGGGCAGGGGAGACTCTGGTGCCTTCCACTCTCAGTAGAGCCTCTCAGTAGAGCCTAAGAGCTCGCATGCTTTCTTGGAAGCCAGTTCACATGGTTGACCCACACTGAATTAGAGTCATTTAAAATCACTCAGGCTTCAACACACGGCTTTTCTAAGGAAACACATGCCTTCCCAGTCCTGTGATTGTGCGATCGCATTTCTGGGCACTTCAAAGAGACCTGGATGCTTGAGCTCTTCCTCTTGGGTATTTGGAAGTATTTAAAGAACACATCCAGAAATTCTGCCCGTAAATATATTTAAACGCTCTAACATTCCAGCGAAACTACTCTAGGTCTCTAGTAAATACCTGGAAATTTAGGTGAGTCTAAATTTCAAAAGAGGGTCCTAAGTAATAACAAATGCTAGAGAGAATGCAGAGAAAAAGGAACCCTCATACACTGCTGGCGGGACTGCAAATTGGTACAGCCGCTGTAGAAAACAGTATGGAGGTTCCTCAGAAAACTAAGAATTGATCTACCATATGATCCAGCAATCCCTCTACTGGGTATTTACCCCAAAGACTTAAAAAATCATATCCGAAAAGATATTTGCACATCCTTGTTCATAGCAGCATTAGTCATGGTGACCAGGACATGGAGGCAACTGAAGTGTCCTACGATAGATGATTGGATAAAGATAGCCATTTGGTACAATATGAATGGAACTCGAGATAATCATGCTAAGCGAAATAAGCCAGACAGAAAAAGTTGAAAATCATATATCACTTATATATGGGATATAAACCTAAAAGCATCAAATGAACAGGACAAACAAACAGAGACTCATGGATGTGGACTATAGACTAGTGGGTAGGGGGTGGGGGAGGAGTAGGGAGGTAGATGGAGTAAAGGGGGTCAAATATAGGGGGGTGGGGCAAGGTGAAATGGGTAAAGGGGATCAAATATATGGTAGCTGAAGGAAACTGGACTTTGGGTGGTAAACACACAACAGAATATACAGATGTTACATTATAATGTACACCTGAAAATTATATAATTGTATTAACCAATGTTACCTCAATAAACTTATTAAAAAAAAAAAAAAAAAGAGGGTCCTGACCTCAAAGTTAAAACAGAAAAATCTTCAAAAGAAGAAGCCAACATTTTGATGTTGTTTCATAAGCCAAACTAAAGAACAGAGTATAGACACCGGTGGTCCCTCCACCTAAGAGCTAACTCAACAGCCATGAAGTCCTGTCTCCCTTGCCCACTGCCTGCTATGGAGACTGGAAAGCCACACACTTCTTTCCTGGCCCTGCTTCTAGCTAGGACTTGCGATGTGACCCACTTACAGCCATGAGACCTCAGAGGAAATCTGCGTGGAGCTTCTGGGGACTCTTTTTGCTTCCTGATCAAAGAATGAGGTGTAAGAAAAGGGTCCCCCAGTACCATTCCTTACCCCTATCTTCCTGCCTTGAACGGAGACCTAACACAGGGGCTGTAAGCAACCAAATGAGCTTACAGATGGGAAGGGGATGGGGAAACCGAAAATATTAAGGCTAGCAGAATAGAACGACAGGAAAAAACCTGGGTGATTAATGACATTGTTATGCTGCCAGAACTCACCACGAGACCACCTACCCCTCAATTTATTGCTCAGTAAAAATAAACTCCTTAACAATTTTAAGTCACTGTTATTCTATTAATATTTGCCTAAAAGCATTCCTGATAAATCTAGTTTCGAATCTATTCCCTCTACCTGAAACTCTAGGTTTAAAAATGCAGTAGGCTGTATTACATATAATTCTATGGATTAAACTTAAGTACAAAAATAAATTTGGAACTATTTGTATGGTCTGTGAAAATGTTCACCCAACTCTTCAAATTATACTTTATTTAAAAAAAAAATAACAATACCGTTTTATCTGTGTGCTTTAAAAAAATATTCAAAATTCTCCTGTTTTGTTTGTTCAAACCCTCTATATGAAATTACTTTTTTAATAATTCTCTGCTGAAGAGGCTCTGCAACATTTTCAATCCATTTTTTATGTACCATCTCTTTTCTTCTTTCCTTAAAAATATCCAGATGCTGAAAATACGTATCCAGTTTCTAATGAAGTGATACAAACAAGGAAAACGAATTATTAAGAAGTTTTCCACTTACTGTCATTTGAATAAGGGGGGGATGACTTGTTCCCACTCCTAAACTCTTATCATACTCAGGTTGCAAAGTCCTAGCATAAGATAACTGAAGAATAGAATAAAGCATGAGATAATCAAAGAACAGAAAGAGAACCAGAGAGCACAGAGCAGGAAGGACCCATGAAAAGTTCTAAACCACATCTGTGCCTTCAGATTAAAACCCATCTAATCCATTGCTAACGCATGAAATTCCTGCTTCTTTTTAAGGATTTCATAGTGTTCCTTTGTCACCCATTCCGTGTCCCTAGCCTTCATCATCAGTGAAGGCTATGACAAAATAGGTAGAGTGGAAAGAGCACTAGGCTTGCTTCCATACCTCTCTCTCTCAATCTATAAAAAAGAGAGTAATCCCACCCATCTCAAATGCAAATGTATGTGAATTTATATAAATCACAATACAAATGTTAAAATATTATTATAACACTGAATTTTAATCCCTCTTATTGAAATTAAAACCCCCTTAAGTTTATTAATTCCATAGTGACTATCAAAAGTGACTGGTCATTACCCTTCAATACTAATTCATTTCTGGCGGCTTTATATATCCCCACTGTAATGTGGGAACATATGAGAAGGAGGTAAGTTTAGTCAGAATTTCTATTCAGCACCAGGACAAAAATGGGGAGCAGTCAGAGCAGTCTCTCAGATCCGGGAATCCAGATCTCTTAGTGACCCTGGCAGGGAGGTGGCACAATCTCAGATCTATGGAATAAAAAGAAGTGACTCAAAGAGGCTCATTTTCCCAGCAAAATAAACCTCTTTGATATGGTAACATCCACTGGGCCATGCTGCTCTGCATCACTCTCGCTTGCCTAGAACACACTTAGAATCAACAATCTGTAGCTCACTCTTACCTTCACGACATTATTTTCTCTAAATAATATTGTGTGTACAGCTTCATCAATGTCTTCTCTAGCTAATGCCTAAAACAAGAGAATTGAATATTAGGATGTAAATCCTGAAGAAACAAACCATTATGACAAAACTCAGTGTATTTTACCAATAGTTTTAGTGTAAATCTAATGTCTGCACCTCGAAGCATATTTCGTAAATTTTTATTATGGAAATTTTCGAGCATGATTCTCCATGAACCCATCACTCAGGTTCAACAATTATGAACTCAAAGTCAGTCTTATTTCATCTAAATCCCTACTCACTCCCCTGCCCCCACCCAGATTATTTTGAAACAAATCCTTTACATCATACCATTAAATATTTTATTTTATTTTATTATTTATTATTATTTATGCCTTCAGTACCTGGTCTTCCTCGGTGGTCTCCCATCCATGTACTAACTAGGCCCGACCCTGCTTAGCTTCTGAGATCAGATGGGATTGGGCTGGTTCGGGGTGGCACGGCCATAGACCATGGACCGTGGCTCCACTGGGGTGTGATCCCAGGGCCTTCTGTGTGTAAAGCAGACGTGCTAACCGCTACACTATGGAACCACATCCAAAAATCATATTTTCAAGTACCAAGAAAGCTTACTAATTAAAGAGATCCTCTATAAAATGAATCTTCTTTTAAGGAATTCAGTAGATTTCCTGACTTCTGCTAGGTCTTTTTATTATAATTCAAAACTACAGAAAATTAGATTTAGTTATACTGGTCCAGAGTCACAGAGCCAGTTAGTGGCGGCTCCTGGCCAAGGACCAAGATTGTCTTCTATCTAGGGACTTATTGTTTCCCTGTGAGTCTGGGTAAAGCTGATACACTGAAATCCTCACTGTGAACTGGTAGTCCAGCTTTTAGTCTTACAAGACTCAGTAGTAACAAATATAAAGACTCTAGCATTAGAAGGAGAAATGCTATTACCTACAAGAATTATCTAGTGTAAAATGACAGAGGTTCTTACAACTATATTATTCCATCTCTGGCTCTTCTTGCAGTTCTGCCGCAGTGAGTGCCTCAAAACGAACCGAATCCCAAACTCAAATAACAACTCTGTGGATCCGAGACATCTCAAAAAGGAGAGTTTTACCCATACACTAACAGCTTCACATGAAACCTAAAATGATATTCAGACACCTATTCGGGTCTGTTCCAAAATAAAACTCCCTTGATAATATAAGCAGAATCTTGTTTTAAAGCATTCTTACACTTATTTTTAAATGGCAATTGGGAAATCATGTGAAACAAACATTTTCCCCTGATACTACAATACAAAATTTAGAAGAAACCAAACCATTTATTTGGAGAAGTAAAAACATACACTTTGACAAGCATTTTGGGAAATCACAGTTTTTTAGCCAATCTATTAACATTATTAGCAAATGTTATATATGCTATTGGTCGTGTCTCGGATTGTGAAACCACTTTTTGTTGTTGCTTCAGGACATAGTTCTTGCCTTTGACGGCTCCTTCTTCATGATTTTGCCAGCAAATATAAGGAAGATGTTAATGATGTCTAGCAGCACTTTTGAAATCCACAGTTTTCCGTGCAACACACACACACACACTGTCTCACTACTCTTCATTGCCACCACGGCAAAAGAGAGCAAAACTAAAGGAAATATCCAAGAGTTTTTCTTACAGCGAAGCAAATTACAGGATCGTATAAAATAATGAAAGGCTCTTTAAGAGGAAATCAGCGCTTTACCAGACCCTGAAGGATCAAGACTTAACTGGTGAGCCCAGACCTAGCTCGTCCCGCAGGCGAGCTCAGGGACTGCTGCGTTTACCCACACGCAGGCCTGCGGCCTGTGGCGGCCCTGCCCCTCGTGCCGGCCACGGGGAACACTGGACCCGCACGCGGCCGAATTCGACCCGGGCCACTCGGGTTCGACGAATGCCTTTGAGCGCCCGGTGTACGCCAGGCGCTGTTCTCGTTCTGGGGAACACAACCGTTATTAACGCAAAGTAACTCTCAATCGCAAGAGATTTCTGTCCCACCGCCCCAAAAGGCTGTGTTATTTTACCTCCATTAAAGCGACTGACTCTGGCTGTGGCCATTCTTTTAATTTTTCCGGCCTGAAATGTTCGTCGTAGGTGGACGTTTTCGTGGCCGCCATAGGTAACAGGATCCCTGAGGGGGACAGTGAATCCAGGAGACGCAGTGAGTGGGTGACAGCCGAAAAGCACGGCCTTGGGGCTCGGGAAGTGGCGGCGGCGGGGACCGGGCACCCACCCGGCTCAGGGCTGCAGAGCCGGCTCCGCGCGCCCCGCCTCCCCGAGGGGCCCCCCACCCCCGGGCAGCGCCGACGGCCGGGGTGCAGGCGGGTGGGACGGCGCCTCGGGAACTCCGAGAGCGCGAGGGGAGCGTGCTTTTAAAAGCCAATCAAAGCGCTGTGCAAACTCGAGCCCCTCTGCGGTGCACCCGCTTTCCTCCTCCGCTCGCGACGCGGGGAGGTGGGGCAGCAAGAGCCGGGGCTCCGCGCGCGCTCCGACCTGCGCGTGGGGCCTTCAACTGTCCGATCCGGCACCAACCCAGGTTTTGATTTAAAAAAAAAAAAAAAAAAAAATTTTGAGGTCATGTAAATTAATTCTAAAGAGAATTTATCATTTACCTGTATGAACTAAGTCTACAACTTGAAGAATGGCTTTTCGTGTCCCTTTGCCTAAGGAATTCAAAATTCTGCTTCTTATGCTCTGGGTCCTGCGATGTCTTCCTGGGACTGAGTCAAACCCAGCTGAGTCCGAGGGGGATTTGCAGAATCAGAATCGGCAGCTGGGTGATCATACTCGAAATGAATTTTTAAATTGAATGCAGACTGTTGGGAAAACCTGGGGAGAATATGTGGGTGTGGATTTTAAGGGTGACCGAGCAAAGGGAGCACTCATTAAACTAGGGAAACGCCTTTAATCGACACAGACTCTCAGTAAGGTAGCTTTCCTATTTTTATTGTCTCTTTCGGGAAGTATTTTTTAACTTCTGGGGAAAATACATTTGCAGTAACTGTCAATACATGGTGTTGTGGTTTCTTAATTATCATACAGACACTGAACTCAAAAATTAGTTGAAGTTTATTGCAGATGCTTTTCTTAGACACAGAACAATTCTTGAACGCCTTCCTTGGTCCCCACCCTGAGTGACTCCTGCTGACAGATGGCTTCCTTTGAAGCAGCCTTCTTTATTGTCCTCTTTTAGCAGCCAAGGATCAGGGTGTGTGCCCTTCAGTTGCTAAAACCTTTTGAAGGTGACAGAAGAGTTAAATGTGATACGGGGATAAGGGGCTTATAACACAGAAAGAGATCCTGGGCTAAGCTGAGCTGATCCCTCTGAGGCCTCGTCCTCCTGACAGAGCTGAGTGACTCCTCTGGAAAGCAGGGCCCTCACCTAAACCTGCCTCAGCCTCTCCTCACTCTGTCTGGATTCAGAAATGTGCGAAGATTCAGGGACACGGCCAACCCTATTATATGTGAGGGACCCCCTATAGTCCTGCTTGCAGATGTCAGTGTCTGCAGTGCTACTTTACACTAGGATTGTTGCGATTTAGAAAATACTAGGTTCCTTTCTTCCCTTCTTTTCAAAACTCTGAATCTCTATCCTCCACCTTCACTATAGCTGATGGACCAGCTCGCTTGATTGAGAAAATGAAGTAAACAGAAGTAAACAATCTTCCTACACAAAAGTCTTCAAGCTAGCTTCATCTGTATCCATGTATTGTGCCTGCCTTCCTCTTACGAGGGATGGACGGTCTTGCCTTCCATTTAAGAAGTGCATCCCCTCTTCACAGGTAAAAGGGGTAGGATGAGAGGGACAGTTTTAAGTAGAGAAGTCAGAGAAGGATTCTCTGAAGAGATGACATTTGTGCAGAGATCTGAGTGAACTGAGGGAGTGACACATGGTTAAGAGTGTTCCGGCAGATGGTCTGGCAGAGGCAAAAGCCTGAAATGGGAGTGAGGTTTGCATGTTCCAAAAACGAGAAAAAGCCAGTGAGGCCGGAGCGTAGTGAATGAGGAGAGAAAGGCAGGAGATGCGGCTGGAGAAGAGACAGGTGCCTAATCGCAGGGGGTTAGAGGCATGATGAGGAGAATAAAATCCAAACTGTGAGGGGAAGGCGTTCGAAGGTTTGGAGTAGGGGAGAAATCTTGTCTAATGAACTTTTTTAAAGAATGCAGCTGCTACATGCAGAATTGATCATTCAGGGGCGAGAGCAGAGGCGAGAAGACCAGTGAGGGGGCCAGTGCGCTGGGCCAGGTAAGATGGCAGTGGCCTGAGCTGGTGGTAGTAGTGAGGACCTAGAATGAACAAGTAGACGGAGCTCGTCGCCTATTAGACATGGCGAGCGAGCGAAAGCCAAGCATCAAAAAGACCCCTAGACTTTTGTCCTGAGGAGTCCTGGTTAGGTTATGGTCCTATTCACAGAACTAGGGGGGATTTGGGGGGAAAGCACATTTGGCAGGAAAAGGGTTGGAAGTGTAAAAATAAAAAATGATCCTGGTTGGGGCTGGTTAAATTTGAGATACACATAATCATTATACTACATAGGAGGGTTTGTAGGGCATGATGATAAAGCAATGTAATTTTTTTTCCTCACTGTCCATTGAAACTTGTTCTGTTGGGATACTGTCTACTTATTCATTTGTTTTTTGTCTGTCTCCCCCATCAGAATGAAAGCTGCTTGAGATGAGAGATTTATCTAATTTTGTTTACCGCTATGTCTCCAAGCCCCTCAAACACTGCCTGGGCTCAGAGTAGGCACTTGTTAAAATTCTGAGGAAGCAAGCAAGCATGTGGGAAGATACTAAAATATGAGAGTGACAGGAGTTAAACCACAAAATAGTTTTAATACATATCCTATGAGTGAGTAAAAAAAGTAGCTCCCTTACCCTTTAGGGCGGGAGTAGGGAAATGGAGAGACAGTCAGACAAAAAGAAAGATTGGAAATATTGACATACTCAGACCAACAGACCACCCCTGTATGATTTCTGACTGAGAGCTGGGGAGGGTGGGCTGTGACTTCTCGAAACCCACTGCTTAAAGAGTCTGCGCTCCAGAGCTTTAGGACACAGGGTGTGGAGAAGAGAACTGATGGGGAGAAGTGGCACCTAGACCTGGAGGGAGTAGGCTCGGCTAGACCAGTCAAAGTGCCAAGTTTAACTAGGTACCTTGGGATGAGAAATCTGTGCTCTATGAACACTTATATTTCCATACATTTTACATTTTAACTGTTTGGGTTTTTACTTTATTTCTCACATTTTACTACTTTAATTTAATATATAGTCCTTTTGAAATTTTTCTACCTGCCTCAGCTGAATTAAGGGGAACAAAAGTTTGGGCCTGGCTTGGACGTGACGAGTGAGAAAAGGTAGAGAGGTGGTAGAGACGGTGGAGAGAGAGAACAAGGGCTAAAACTCAGGAGAGGGAGGTAGGAAAATCCCGGAGCCCACGCACCAGAGGGCGCCTCCTCTGCGCAGCTCCCAGAGGCAACTTTCTCCATTCCCTCTGAATAAAGGAAACCTGCCCCAGTCTCCTACTCTCTCTCTGGCCCTTCTTTCTTTCTTTTATTTATTTTGGGGTGGGGGGGCGGGGCCGGGTATCTGGGGAGGGGCAGAGTCGGGACAGGCCCACTGCCTCCTCTCTTCCTGGAAGCCTACCATACAGAGACATTCCCAGCTGCTCAGATTTTGCTACCGGCAATTGCTGCCTTATGTCTTGCAAAACGGGACTCCCCCAGCTCTCACCACATCCTGGTCCTCATCCCTTTCTTCCTCCCGGCCGAGGTTCAAGAAAAGAGGTGCCCTTCAGAGTCGGCCTCCTTGGGACTGGGATTCTTTCCCTCCTGATGACACAGAGGTACTTTTCCCAGAAAGCATGACCTTCTGTTTCTGTAGGGAAGAACCAGAAAGGAAAGAATTCTCTTAACGATCAACTCAATTGTAGCACTTAATTTTCTATTTAAATCTGAAGTTGATGAATTCTAGATGAACTTGCATGTTTTTATGAAAAAAAAAAAAAACTCAAATAAATAGCATGACCTTGCCCCAGTAATGTTTTCATCTGAAAGCTCTTTGCTGCTTACTCAGCTGAGTGAGGGTCCTGCAGAGTAAATGACCCCTCACAGAGTTGTCCATGTACCTTCCCTGGGCAAGTCTAATTCTCCCAAGGACAAATGTGCCCTCTCCACCCCTGATCCATATGGGGTGCTTCCCTCATTCATGGAAGCGTCTAATCTTCCTCCTCCTCTTGCCAGGGGGAGTTCACAGACTAAGACTTGAGTCTAAAATATAAGCCATAGTTATTTCAACAATGTGATATTCTCTCCTTCCTGTCTGGGTCTCATCCTGTTAGAAGAGGTATTGGAGGACAAAACTCCTCATTTTATACCATATATAGGAATTAAATAGGATTGAGATGTTTGTTATCCTAAAACCTGATCCAAACAGATCTTTAAGAGACCTTAGCAGTTAAGGATTGTAGAAGAACTTACTCTTTTGGAAGCTACAAGTATACAAGAATGATCTGAATTATTCCATCTTGTGAGCCCTCAGCTATCAAGTGAGTAGGGCTTAGTTTCACTGTTTCCTATTATCTTTCAATTTTAGCTCCTACTCAAAAAGCAGCAAATTGTTAAACCACACCTTAAGGTGCATGTCCACGATGGCCAGCTCCATCGTTAACAGTCATCCGTTTCTGCTTTAAGTCACTAAGTGTCCTATGAGGCAACTAGTCATTCTCTCTGCTGGCCATGCCAGCATCAAGCACCTGTGTAAGCCCTCCAGCTTCTGCCACACTGTATATATTCATCAAATTCTGAGCCTATTCAGCAAAAGGGAAACTACTGCACCTTGTTTTGGGACTTTTTAGGAACACAGTATTGTAAGCCAACTCCCTAAACAACATCAAACGAGCTCATTTTTCTTCTGCCTTGCTAGGTTCTTTTTTTATCATCATCAATGTCTTTACTGAAATATAATTTACACGCCATAAAATCCATCTATTTTAAGTATACACACCAATGACTTTTAGAATATTTACAGAAGTGTGCAACTATCACCACAATCTAATTTTAGAACATTTCTATCAGTCCAGAAATCTCATGCTCATTTACAATCACTCTCCATTCCCAGCCCCAGCCCTAGGCAACCAATAATCTGCTTCTTGTCTCTATAGATTTGCCTTTTCTCACATTTCATATAAATAGTCATACAATATGTAGTCTTTTGTGATTGTCTTCTTTCACCGAGTATAATAGCTTTAATGTTCATCCATGTTACAGAATTTATCAGTATTTCTTTTCTTTTTAATTGCCAAATAATATTACATATATAAATATACCACATATTGTATATCCATTCACCGGTTGATGAACACGTGGGTTGTTTCCAGTTTTGGGCTATTGTGAACAATGCTACCATGAACACTCACTCGGGCACAAGTCTTTATAAGAACATATGTTTCTATTTCTCCTGGAAAGAAACCTAGTAGTTGAATTGCTGGGTCACATGGTAATGTAATGTAATGTTTAACCTTTTGAGAAACTGCCAAACTGTTTTCCAAAGTTACTGCATCATTTCACATTCCCTCCAGCAATGTCTGAAGGATCCTATTTTAATCAGATCATTAACAAGTTATTTCACTATGCAGAGAAATCTCTTACGACTAATTCCATAACCAGTTCATCGGGACGATTCCCCACGTTACACACAGAGTATGTACCACTTCTCTGCTCACATCATCTCTTCACTCTGCGTACAATACTGTAACAGCTACCACCCACCAAAGCCAGTCCAAAACTCCATTTATACTGTTCCAAATCAATTAAAATCTCCTCACCTGTAACTTTAATATGAGTTGTTAACAACTTTTTTCTGTGCCTGTGCTTGTTATTCCCAAATGTGTCAGCTGTTCATTCTTTAAAACGAGAAGGAGCTGAGGAAAGTTGCCACCTCACCCAGACACAGTGGTGGGAGATGCCTGGTGTCATGCCACAAGAGTCTGGCATATGCCTCAGCACTGACTCCAGCAACTTAAAAGGATGGCAAAGGGGAGAAACACAGCCAAGCATTTTAAATGAAAGAAGAGCAGAGCTATGGAAGAACAGACTTACTTGGAAATAACTGCTTTTTCTTTTTTCTGGGATTCCAGAAGATGAGAAGCTCTTGCCAAGGGTTTCAGATCAAAACTACTACTGTTAAAATTCTCTTTCACTTTTAACCTTTAACAAGATAACACATGTGAGGATGTTTTGAAAACAATACTAGCTTATACTCTTACAGAAATTATTGCTGCACATTGTTATGTATATTGTCCAAAATACCATTCCTTCAAACTTGTGTGCATTCTTGGGTGTGTAAGAGTTGCTGAAACCATGATGGAGATTGGTTTACTATTTACTGAGAACCTAGACTGGCCATTCCTCTAACTATGCCTGGCATGCAAATGGTTACACAAAGAATTCATGGAAAGAATCAAGAATACTGATTTTGACTTAATTAGAATGAGTTTTCATCAAAAATGTGAATTTTTAAATAAGTTTTGAGTAAAAGAAAAGAAATAGGTATAGCAAGCATCTGGATTAGTGTACAAAGCATTATTAATAACAAAAGGGTTTCCTGTGTTAACATATCCGAGAAGAGCATTCAAGCAAAAATTACAGGATGTGCCAAAAAATGCAAGACAAAATAACCTTAAATATCTGGCATTCAATAAAAAATTATAAGACATGCAAAAAAAAGGCAAGAGAGAATAACCCACTATCAAGAGATAAAGCAATCAACAGAACCAAATTCAGAAATGATCCTAATGTTAGAACTATTAGATAGGGACTTTAAAATAACAATGATTATGTTAAACAATCTAATGGAAAGGTGAACAACATGTATGAACACATAGAGAATTTCAGGAGAAATGAAAACTATGTAAAAAATCAAATGGAAATACTAGAAATAAAAATCATTACATCAGAGATGAAGAATTCTTCTGATAAGCTCTTCAGTATATATGGGACAGCTGAGAAAAGACTCAGTGAACTTAAAGATAGGTCAGTAGAAATTGACCAATTGAAATACAAGAAGAAAAAAAGTTAAAGAACAGTATCTAAAAGCTATGTAGCCATGGGACTATATCAAATGGTCTAACATACATAGAATTGGAATCTCAGAAGAAAAAAGAAAGAATGGGCATAAGAAATATTTGATGTGATAATGGCATAGAACGTCCAAAAAAATAATGAAAGACATCAAACCACAGGTACAAGAATCTCAGTGAGCCCTAAGCAGGATAAACAGAAGGAAAGGGGGAAAAAAAAACCCTAGACACATCAGTCTAGCTAATGAAAACCAGAGAAAACGAGAAAATCTTGAAAGTATCCAAGAAAAAAGAAACATGGCATACAGAGAAAAAAAGAATTACGGTATATTTCTCATTGAAAAATGAAATAAAAGAGAATCATAACTATGACAAAATATAGTCTCAAGAAAAGTTTTCCAATTCCAATAGGTTCCATAATTTCTATAATATTAAACATTACCTGCTCCTTTTACAAAATTCACTTTCTATATAGCGTGTAGGCAGTTTAAGCCATTCATTTGGAGTCATAAAGTGCCTTGGATTAGAAATTCTTGGGAATCTGGAATGCAGTTTGGCCTTCTCAATCTCTTTAAATTCTTTCATTGTATATATTTTGCCTGCAGGAAGATTAGTAACTTGAATTAGCATACTGAAATACAACTCCTATTGCTCTTGGGTTATGAAATCACATAATAATTAGAAACTAAGTACCAGTCTCACACTGAAGAAGAGTTCTTTTTTCATTATCTTTGTCATATTGTGCCTTTTTCAAAGGATCACGAAATGGTGGGATGGTAACCTACAAGAAAAGCACTTCTTTGAGAACTGGGTTTCAGATCTTTTTCAGTCTATCCCAAACATCCATTTATGGCTCTTATGCCAAAAGAATGAAGAATATAGCATCTACAAACTGACGACAGTCTAACCATTGTATATATTTAACACGTCACAAAGAGCTGGGGGCACTCCAGTACATCTCTTAGCAAGGCCCTCCAGCTGTGGTTAACTCTAGTTTTAATAGCCTATTCAGATCATCGTGGATATTCTTCTCAGATACTATACCCAAACTCAACAAGTGGTAGTTTCTTTAAGTTAGTTATGACATAGAATCTAAAACTATTATCAGTGAATTATTCAAACTCTGCCTCATTGAAATCCATTGGTCTGTCTTGAACTTTGAATGGATCTTTTATCCATGTCATGAATTGGTTGTTTGGAAAAAAAATCGGATCACTGAGTTATGTGAGATATTCCAAGTGTTAATACATTTTGTTATACAGTAATCACATTCCTTATTATTACCAATATCATCAGTAAAATCTTTGAGTATTAGGATGCTGTTACTCTCATGATGGTGATATGATTTTTCCAAAATTCAAATTTTTGGCTTAAAAGCTCACATTTTATCATTGGCAACAAATACTGTCGGTTGTTTTTCTTGAAATGACAGACTCACTTTGCTAATTTTCCAGAAAATATCTGCCAAATACCTAAGATTTAATAACCATAGTTTTGTAAGTCATTCTTTCAAGTAAAAATGGTGTTCTGTGAAAAAAAAAAATCAACCAGTCTAGCTCACGGTTCAAACAGTCACCCTGTATTTCAGTATTCAGCAGAAGTGCTCTTCACATACTTCTCATTTCATCACGCAGAATGTTAAAAAGATGTGTACTCGAGGAGCAAGGTTTGCTCAAAATAATAACTTTGACTGCTTGATTAAGGATATTCTTGATGGAAATTGAATTTTTTTTTTACTGTGAGCTCATGTGTTGACACTGACGTAAGCTCTTCTCAGGCACCAGCAGTTCTATGCACCATTGCTTTTGCACCATCAGAGCGAATGTCAACACGACAAAAAAGATAAATAATATCCGGCACTATTACAAAAATATTTGGTCTAGTGGATACCTGAAAAGGTTTTGGGATGCTCAGAGGTCTATGTACTTCACTTTGGGAACTGCTGCTATAACCTCGGCGTGCTCAGCTTACTCTAAGAGGTCACCTATCGGCTTCATTTAGAAAGGCAGCACGGTAAAAGACAGAATGGAATTTTGGTATCAAAAAGATATGGTTTCAAATCCTAGTATTGCCCCTTACTAGCTATGTTACTAGTTATATATATACATATAGCTCTAACTCTAAACTCTCAATTTTAACTCTCACCTATAAAGAGAGGGACAATAGCACATACATACGTACACATACCCCAATTTGGGCGAGGAGGACCTGCTTTGGATGCAAATGCAAGCAGTTTAAAATGCCTATGACTCAAGGTACGTTTTCTGTTTTATTTAATAATATCAACTATTAGCAAAAGTGTGGGAAAATGGACTCTGATGGGGGTGCACATTTATGTAAACATTCCACATAACGATTTAGCAGTACGAATCAAAATCATGCATAACCTTTAACTCAGAACAATTCTACTTCTAGCAATGTACCCTAAGGAAAAAAATAAGAAATAAATAGTTACAGGGATGTTCATCACAATGTCATTTATAACCAATAGGGCTAAAGCAATTTAAATGTTCAAAATACGGAACCTGTCAAAAATAATGATTTAGCAAGACACCATGTATGGTTAGAAACACATCTATGCTCTGTTTACAGCTGTGTGACCTTGAACAAATAACCTGACATGGTAGAAGATGAACTAACATGAAAAAAAAGAAAAGTCCTAACATTTGGTTAAACCCTCGGTGCAAGTTACCCACTATTAATGACAGAATACCATGCAGTGATTAAACTTATATATTCACATTTGTCGACAAAGAAATAAGCAAATCATAAACTATTGAGGAAAAAGAGCAGACTATAAAACTGAACATATGGTATAATCCCATTCTTGTAAAATAAAAATGTGTATCTATAACTATAGAAAAGAAGTGCTGAAGGACATACAGAAAAATGTTAATGAGTTCTTTCTGGATAATGGAATTGAATGGTTTTTTAATTCTTTATTTAAGAATTGATTTTCTCATTTAGCTATCATTTTTAAAAGAAATGTATTACTTTTGTAACAAGTTAAAAAGTTATGAAAAATTTAAACATTACTTATTACCCAATTATTATGCAGTATTTTTAAATTTTACAGAGGTTTGATTTACTTTGGACTTTGGCTTTTTTGTTCCTTTTCTAAGATACAGAGACGGGACACTATTCTTAAGATGTTACTACATTTTTAGGGAATCACTAAAGAACGAATCATATATTAGGGCTGCTCAGAAAAACCAACCACAGAATGCCAAGGTTAAACTAAGAAATCTATCCTACCTTCAGAAAATTCAGGTCCTCTTTGGTCATGTAAAATGGATCATACTCTTTGGGATCATAATGCTCTATAAATGCGTTTCCCTATAGGAAGGAAATAAACCACACATAAAAACAGAGGTACGCAATTAATTTTAGCATAACAGAACTCAAGAGTCACACACACAGTTCCATTCTTGTGCTTTGAAATGCCATCAATGACAAACTCAAAAGGGAAGAGAAGACCGAATTTGAAATTATATTTAATGTATCGAAGTAATAAATATTATAGTGATAGAAGGAATCTACTTAAAATATACAAGATTTTAATAAAAAATGTTGGAACACTAAAAGATTTGAAAATTTGTTCTTAAATGCTTATTAGTCAAACATGCCAGGAGAACAAAAATGTTTTATAGCTTTGTAAATAGTCAAGTTTCAGAACAAATGTGTGTGTATATACATATATATTCTGAACCTAAAGTCCAAATTTTTAAATTGGTATATAAACTTAATAATTACATGGGAACAACAAAGAAAAATTATTTTAATGTACAGACCTAGCCCTCCTCCCTTCTCCTTTCCACATTCCCTGGATTTAAGAATAGTATATGCTATAACAGGGTGTAGATGATGCATAAGAGAGTAGGGAGGGGCAGGCTATTTGTATGATTATAAATAAAGATAATCATCATTTTTAAACCAACTGAAAAAGGTATCAAATGATCTCTTAGTACCTTTTTATTTACATATTTTAAAAAATTATCTAATTCTTCTTGTCTCTTTTGTTTAATATTATGTGAACAAACTTTTTCTATAATTTTCTTCTGGAGAGGATGTGCCACATTGTCAACCCATCTTTTATGTAACATCTCTTTTCTTCTTGCATTTAGGAAGTCATGATGTTGTAAACGTTTATCTAGTTCCTAGTAAACAGTGATAGAAAAGACAAATATATTATCTTAAAGGTTTCACATTCTAAAATTTAAACATAATTTATATTCCATGAAGTCATTCATTCATTCAATCATTTACTTGGCTTCTACTGTGTGATGTATACTATATTGGAAACAAAGAATGGGTGGATAAATTAGACAACCTGCCTGCTCTCCCTGGGGAGAAAGACTACAAAACAAATCTACAAAACAATGAGAGGAGGAACAATATAGCAAGTTATATAGATAAAATAATTAAAAACAGGCACTCCAACAGATACTCGTATACCAATGTTCACTGCAACATTGTTCACAGAAGCCAAAAGGTGCAACCTGAGTGTCCATCAACAGATGAATGTATAAACAACATGTGGCAGGCGCACACACACACACACACACACACACACACACACACGAATAATATACAGTTACGAAAAAGGAGTGGAGTTCTAACACATGCTACAACACGGTTGAACCTGAAAACAATATGCTAAGTGAAATAAGCCAGACATAAAAGGAGAAATATTGTAGGATTCCGCTTATATGAAATATCTAGAATAGGCAAATTCATAGATACAGAAAGTAAATTAGAAAAAAAGTAAATTAGCAGTTACAAGAGGCTTGGGGAGGAAAGAATGGGGACTTATTACTTAATGAATACAAAGTTTCAGTTGGGGTGATGAAAAAGTTTTGGAAATAGTGGTGATAGTTTTATAACATGTAAATGTTATTAATGTCAATGAATGGTACAGTTAAAAATAGCAAACGTTACGTTATATGTATTTTACCACAGTGGAAAAACTGTTAAATTAAAAAATATTCTCAAAGTGGGAGACATTACGGATGGGCCTTAAAAATGAAGAGTTATCTAGGAACAGAAGGGAAGAAAGAGAATGTGGAATAAGAATATTCTATGGGGGAAAAAGAGACAAAAGCAAAGATACAGAAGTGTAGTACAACGTGGTCCAAATGGCAAGTAGCCCGCAAAGAAAATGCCTGATTTAGGCTAAAACTAAATCATTCTCACCAGAACTTCTCATCAACCTTTTATCTAGCAAATGAAATCATGTAATTACTAGGATCAACAATATAAAATTCAAAATTTAAAAAAAAAAAAAAAAACCCTAAGAGCTTCCTACTTTGCAGGGATTCTCCCTCCCTAACTTCAGGTCATAGCACACCTCAACCATTCTCAAATAGTCCCTTTCCTCTTTAAACAACTCTAAAGAAAATTCTTAAAGACAAAAACAGGTTAGCCACTCCAGCATTTACTATACTTCACACAGACGTTCATCTTGTCTCATAATTAAACTCACCCTGCTACAGTTAAAGTCAGGTTTTTACCTAGGTATTGGTAAGTAACAGCTGGTCACTGTATTCTAATAACAGCCCTTAAAGCTCTTAAGGATACATAGTGACTCCACTGAAACCCCATTAAGATGAAGGAACAAGTGAGAAGGGAAAAATTCTTATAAGGTTTCTGTGAAAGAATCTCCACAGTATAGGAAGAGAGGAAGTCAATTAAAGCAATCTCAGAGACCTCTTAAGGTTAATCCTAGGGGCTTATGAGTGTTTTTGATTCTATTTTCCATATTTTCTACAATTTTTATAATGATGATGTACTACATCTAAAATGGCAAAAAAATTTTAATTGACATATTCTATAGCTAATTCTTACCTTAATTACATAGTGTTCTCTATATAATATTGATCTAATAGCTGCATCAATATCTTCTTCAGCTAATTCCTAAAATGACAGAAAAAAATTTTGAAAATCAAATCTTAAAAAATCAAGTTAATACTATCTAGACATATTTTATATGACAGACATATCTCTGGAAAGTTCTCTGTAAATCCAGTTTTTATACCTAAAATATGCCATAAAGTACTTCTTAAAGATTTGAATCTTCTTTCAACTAAAGCTCATTCTAGGGCAAAAATAACTCAGATCAGACATTTTGAGTCCCCGCAAGTACAAATGACTTGTCCAGTCACATGGTAGGTAGAAGCCATCTTTTTTCACATACTATAATATACTTTTACTTTTATGGGTTAAAATAGATACAATTAGGCCTATATTTGAATTCATTTAGTCATTATAGCTATCAGATAATAATAAGTATTTTTATATACAAGTCACATTTTTAGATTTTAAAGCAACACAATCTGCAGGAAATAATCATAACAACAATTTTTTCCATTATCATAATGAATCTTCCACAAATATCTGCCAGAAAATACAAGAGGTTGATTTCTAGCATACATGTGAATGTAATGTCACTGAATTATACACTTAAAAATGGTTAAAAATAGCAAATGTTACACTATATATATTTTACTAGAATGAAAAAATTATATCAAATTAAAAAAAAAAGATTACGAAAGTGGGAGACATTTGAGATGGGCCTTTGAAATCCTTTCATAATTACACAAAAATAAAATAATTTCAAATTAACTGTCATTGCAAATAGTTGTTTTCAGTTCCACTACTCGTTTCTAGAACAGATGAGTAAACTCTCAAAATCCAAGAACTAACCTCCAAGAATATTAAGGCTGTTGGAAGTTAAGTAACAACCAGAAGCCTAGAAAAACCTGCAGTGAGCCAGAATTTAAACTCAAATGTGTCTAACTCCAAATTCATTTTCTTTGTTCTTTCTGCCTCAACAGAGTGCCTATTCCTGGCAAGTCTGTTTTTCTGAAAACCTGATGGGTATGGAATTAATATTCTAGACAAAAATATAAAGACCAACAATCCAAAGACACTGGAGACTGACCAAAAGCATGTAGGAAGTAGAGAGTAATCAACACTTGGAAAAAAGAGAACAGCACTGGATAAGTTTTAGTTTTTTAAGGACTTTTGTCTAAGAGTAGGCCTCAGTCAGGGCTAAGGGAGTTGGCTCAAACTCAGAAACATGTAGTTTTACAGATTCAAGAATTAGAAGACAGTGTTCAGGGCCACTATAGGAGCTGGAAAGTGAGGGGAGAAATACCTGAAAGACGAAAGCCACATGAGGGATGCCACGAATTTTGAAAATAAAAATCTGACCACATTTCTGGCAGATCCTTGAACTATGTATGTATAAGGCAGACTCCATGCAGCCCATCTACAGCTAAAAAAGACTAAACGGTGATTTCATCTGCTTCCAATTGCAGGACACACAAAGTTTGGGGTTTGAGGTCAGTCAGGTTAACTGCTTGGTAAAACGAAAGCTCAATATTCTTCAGAGGAATATAAAAGCATCCAGACCCTTTATAATGCATCATTCATAATGTCCAAAATATAGTCTAGAATTACTAGACACACAAAGAAACAGGAAAATGTGACCCATACTTAAAAGAACAGCCATTAATGGAGATCAACTCTGAGATGGCCCATATGTTGGAATTAGCAGACAAAGATTTTAGGTCAACTATTATAGCTATGCTTAAGAAGTTAAAGGGAAATATGCTCTTAATGAATGGACAGAAAATCTCAGCGGAGAAATATAGACTATGAAAAAGAACCAAGTAGAAAACACAGTTCTGAAATTTAAAAAAATAGACTTCAGTGGGCTTAATAGCAGATTGGCAATGAGATAAAAAAGAGTCAGTGAACTTGAACACAGATCATTAGAAATTATCCAATCTGAAAAACAGAGAGAAAAATAGATTGGAAAATAACAAACAGATCTACACTGACTTATAAGACAATAGCAAAAGGTTCAACCAGTAGATAACTGGAGTGCCAAAAGTGATAAAAGAATGGAGTAGAAAAAAACAAAACAAAACTGGTTTACAAAACAGTCACAGGGATATAAAGTACAGCATAGGAAATGTAGTTAATAACATTGTAATAAGTATGTATGGTACCAGGTAGGTACTAGACTATCGGGGGGATCCCTTTGTAAATTATATAAATGTCTAACCACTATGCTGTACAACTGAAACATGAAACAGGACGGCTACAGTTCATAAGGCAGAGTTCCAAGGGGAGGAAAGTTACACAAAGAAAGAGCTTTGGGGCTTTGCAGAGGGTTAGATCTGTAGAGGGTCCCCCTTGATTCTTCAGCTGAATACTGAACACTATAGGCACATGGAGAAACTGCCCCAAGAAACACTGGACAGAAAAGCACCTGAAAGGATTGGAGGGAACAATCCCTACAAGTCACACAGCCGCAGGAGTTAATCCTCTTAACAGAGTAAAAAACTCCATGTTCGCAAAGCATTGAGTTGAGTACTTGGAGAGGTTTTGTGTAAGTAGTGGAACAAAATTAGCCATACACTAAACGCCACTGGGGTCCTGCCTAACAAAGCTTGGAGGCAACACTCGAACCAAGTAACTGCATCCTAAAACCAAGCTCAAGAACATTTATGGGAAATCAAAAACATCCAGCACTCGACAAGGTAAAATTCACCATGTCTGGCGTCCAATAAAAAAATCACCAGGCATACAAAGAAGCAGGAAAATTTGACTAATAATGAAGAGGAGAATTAATCAAAACTGCCCCAGGAATAACAAAGATGATACATTTATTAGACCAGGACATGAAAATAATCATTATACCTGTTGTTCCTAAGTTCAGGAAGCTAGAGGAAACAGTAGACATTTTGAGACAGGGTAGATCTAAGTAAAGACCCAAATAAAATTTCTAGGGATTAAAATTACAATATTTAAGATGAAACATAAACCAGACAGGCTTATCAGTAAATTTGATGTAACAGATTAGTAAACTTAAAATCATAACAGTAGATAGAAACTGTCCAAAATGAAATGCAAAGGAAAGAGTCTGAAAACAATTAACAGAGTGTCAGTGGGCTATGAGATGCTTTCAAGCAGGCCATTATACATATAATTGCATTTTCCAAAAGGAGGGGAAGAGAATAGAAAAAATATTTGAAGAAATATGGTCAAAATTTTTTCCAAATTTATTGAGGACTATAAGCTTACAGATAAAAGAGGTTCGATGAAATCCAAGCAGTGGAGAAATTGGAATTCTCCTACATTGCTGATGAGAATGTATAATGGTACAGCCACGGTGGGAAATAGGCAGTTCCTCACAAAGTTAAACACAACTGTGTACTTATCAGAATGGCCAAAATCCAGAACACTGACAGCACCAAATGCTAAAGCGGATGTGAACAAACGGGAACTCTCATACATTGTCAGTGGAAATGCAAAATGGTACAGTCACTTTGGAAGACAGTTTGGTGGTTTCTTACAAAACTAAACATACTTTTAGTATACGATCAAGCAATCACATTCTTTGTTATTTATCCAAAAGAGCTGAAAACTTATGTCTATACAAAAACTTGCATGTTATTCATAGTAGCTTTACTCATAATTGCCAAAACTTGAGATCAATCAGGATGTCCTTATAGGTGGATGATAAATAAGCTGTGGTACATCTAGACAATGGGATATTATTCAGTGCTAAGAAGAAATGAGCTATCAAGCCATGAAAACACATCGAGGAACCTTAAAGACATATTATTAAGTTGAAAAAAGCCAACCTGAAATGTATGTGATTTCACCTATATGAGATCCTGATTTTAATTTTTTAATCTTTCCTTTTTGTCTGAATTCTCTAAATTTTACATAATGATCGCCTATAATTTGTGTAATTCTATAAAAATGAAAGTAACCTATGTTCTGCCAAAAAAAAAGTTAAATAGAGTTACCATATAACCTAGTAATTCAATTTGTAGCTTATATACTAGAGAATTGAAAACATATATTCACACAGAAACTTGTATACAAATGTTCATAGCAGTATTACTCATAATAGCCAAAAGCTAGAAACAGCCCAAATGCCCATCCGCTGAGGAATGGATAACCAAAATGTGGTATATCCATGTAATGGAATATTATTTAGCCATAATAAGGAACGAAGTACTCATACATGCTACGACATGGGTGAACTTCTAAAACAGTATATTAAGTGAGAGAAGCTAGTCACAAAGGTCTACGTACTGTATGTATTTGTATAAAATGTCTAGAATAGACAAATGTGAAAGTAGATTAGTGATTGCCAGGAGCCAAGGGAGGAAGGGAATGGAGAGCGACTACTAAAGGAAGTGAAGTTTCTTTTTTGGATGATGAAAATGTTCTGGAATTAGATAGTGGTGATGGTTGCACAACTTTGTGAATATACTAAAAACCACTGAATTGAACACTTAAATAAAGTAGTGAATTTTATAGTATGTGAGTTATATCTCAATAATAAAAGCTCAACAATAAAACAATAATACAACTCAATTTAAAAATCGACAAAATATTTGAACATACACTTCACTAATTAACATATATATGGGAAGGAAGAAAACCATTATACACCTTTTAGAACATCTCAAAAAGATTATGTGCACACACACACACACACACACACACACAGTCTGTTCCAAATGTTGGCTGGGATGGGAAATAACTGGAACTCTCATACGCTGTTAGTGAAAATGTAAAATAATAGTCACTTTGGAAAACAGTCTGGCAGTTTCATAAAAAGTTAAATTTATTTACCATATGACCTAGCTGTTCCACAACTAGATATTTACCAAGAGAAATGAAAGTATATGTCCATACAAAGCCATGTACATAAATGTTCCTAACAGCTTTATTTTAATAGCCCCAAACTCCAAACAACCCAAATATGCAGCAACAGGATGGACAAACTGGGCTATCTAGCATTCAGAAAAAAAAAAACAGTATTATACATGCAACAACATGAATTAATTGCAAAATAATTATGCTGAGTGAATGACACCAGACAAAAAGGTTACATACTGTAAAATTACATTTATATAAACATTTTTAAATGCAAAATGAAATATAGTGACAGAACACAAATCAGTAATTGCCTTGGAGGGCAGGCAGAGAGAGAGGGATTACCAAGGGACACAATGAAGAAACTTTGAGTGTATCAAATATATTCATTATCCTGATTGTGGTGATGGTTTCATGTGTGAAACCATGCAAAATTTATCAAACTGTACACTTTAAAAATATCAATATGTATATCGATTACAGCTTAATAAAGTTATTTAGAAAAAAAGAAATTAACATCTTCGAAAAAGACATGTATAAATTTGGGTGATGCAGCTAAAGCAGTTCTTCAAAAGAAACTTTATAACTTTATCTTATACCTTAAGAAAGTAGAAAATAAAGAGCAAACAGTAAAATGAAGAAACTAATAACTTAATAGAAAACATTATATAAAGAATGAAATAGAAAACAGAAAAAAATGTTTAAGCACAAGCCGCCTCTCAATGCAACAACCCAAGTATAAACTTCAAAATGCCATACTAATGTACCTCCATAAAAGAAAGTGGCTGTGGTTCCAACCATTCTTTTGAGCTCTTGAGCTTGGGAAATTTGTTAGTTACAGGATCATCACTGTCTAACTTTTTCATTGTGGTCACAAATAATAGAGCCCCTAGAAAAACTGAAAAATTAGCTTATTTAGTAATGAGAATTCACAGGCATCTTATTTTCTCTTCTGTTTTATTAATAATCAATCCTTGTGACCATGAACGGACTTGGAACGAATTCTGAACATTAGGCAGCCACACTTTCCCTAACAAGAAGCCTTTACCATAGCCTCTGATAATGTCTTCAGAGCCAGCCTCCTTTAAGCAGGGGGTTCTCTCTGCACCGACCCGCTTCCCCCTGGAATTTCAGGCTTTCCACGTGCTACAGCACAGCCCCTTGGAGCCGGGGCGGCAATTATCCGCCCGGCCTCTAGGAATGACATTGCAGCAGTTTTCTGACTGCTGGCCGCGAACCGGGAATTGCAACTTTCTGGCTACTAAAGCCCACACACGTAGGGCTTCTTGGAGAGAGGAGGGGCTTTCAGACAAAAATTTGTCCCCAAAACTACCCCCCACCAGACCATATCTGCGGGAGAAGCTGTCATTAGGGTGTGCTCCGTTGTACACCTACAGCACCCAGGACTGCGTCCCTTCCCTCCCCCCACCGTCAACAAGACGCTTGCGACCTCCGTCCGGTCTGGCAGGAAGGCTGCAGGCGCGACCCGCACCTCAGGTGCCCACCGAAGACGGGCAGGGCCTTCGGCTTCCCTGCAACACGTGCGGACGCGGCCCGACGGCCCACGGCCCCGGAAGCGTCGCCGCGGCGGGAGACTGCGCCCACCTGGGCCTGCGGCCCGGTCAGCTCGCGCCCGTCGCCTCGGAACGTGAGAACGTTTCGCGGACAGTGTCTCGGGACGCACCGCCCCCGTGGCCCCTCCGCCGCGGCAACGACAACGAGTCCGCGAGGCACCGAGGCGGGCGGAGGACTCCGCATTCCGCGGGGCCACGGGCCGCGGAGACCCGGCCGCTGCGCCCCGGCGGCCGCGTCAGGCGGAGAAGGGGCCTGGGAGCCTGCAGGGCGGAGGCGGGTTGGCAGGTCCTGGTTTGAGAACCGGAGTAGCGCTTCTCGGTGACCGGCAGCTGTCGCAGCCAATAGCCGGCAGGTCGCCTTCCCGCCCCTCCTCCTCCCGCGTCCGTTGACTGGCGGCTGCTCAGCCTGCCAGCCCAGCCCCTGGTGAAGCGCTGGGCTCCTGCAGGGGGAGCCTGGTGGCTTCCGCTGCCCCCTGTCCCACCGCGCTCCCCCCAGCCCCAGTGCCTACTGTGCGTCTCCCCAACCAACAGGACTGGTATTAGCCCCCTCCATCACCCTCAGTCCCGCTCTGGGGGAATCCCTCCCGCTGTGGGCCAAACCACCACGAAGTGAGTGGCGGGAAGGGGCACCTGCCCTTAGTATCTCCTGGAAGAACGAGTACTTTGTGGAGGTTGGCCTGATGAGCACGGTCCAAGGAGACTTGTGCGGAAAGTGTCGACCTAACTGCCTTAAACATGTGTTCAGTCCCTCAGAGTGATTGTAGATCAGTGTCCTGAGAAAGGAATGTGAGAACTCGTGCCCAGCACATCATTTAGCCTTGTTTACTTAGTTCAGTAGTTCTCCACCCCTGCAGGCTTTTGTTTCTTGTTTCTTAATCCCAGACGATTCTGATGCAAACCATTGACACAGCTAGAAAAAATAAGAGTTGTGTTTTGACAGATTCACTTCATAACCCCTCTCTGTGTAAACTGTGATTTTTCTCTCATCCTGTTTTCCTCTTCGAGTATTGGTCCACACTAGATGACAGGCCATCACTTTTCATCTTTTCAAAGTACACATGCTGACGCTAAAACTGTCCAAAGTATCTTAGGGGGGATTTTTATTCACAGGCCTTTAAAAGCCAGAGCAGATCCTTTCAACTGCAGCCTTTTTCAAAAGAGCGGAAGGAGCATGAGCCATTTGCAGAACTTACTGTTAGATTCGCTCCTGGGAACAAAGCATGTGGACAGTGCAGCCCTCATCAAACTCCAGGAGCGGAGCCTGTGTATAGCATCACCAGGATTTAGTGTAAGGAAAAATAAGTTTGAGCATAGAACTTTAAAGAAAAAAGTTTGAGCATAAGAGTTTTCAATTTTTTCTCTGAAGAGCCATAGTAAACATTTCAGTTTTCCGGGCCATATGGTTTGTGTCACATCTACACAACCACTACGCTGTCGTAATGGGAAAGCAGCCATAGACAATACAGGAAATGGGTATGACTATGTTCCAATAAAACTTTTTATTTACGAGCACTGACGTTCAAATTTCATGTAATTTTCACACATCACAAAATGTCATTCTTTTGATTTTTTTTTCCCAACTACTTAAACATGTAAAAGCCATTCTTAGCTTGCAGGCCTATGGTAACAGGCAGTGGGCCAAATGTGGCTGGCCTGCCACAGTTTGCTCACTCCTAGTCTATTTAACCTCTGCAGGTAATGCCCAGTGATGTTCGGACACTTGTGAATGGATTTGCCAAGAACCCTTTGCGAGCCAGAAGAGAAGGACTGTATTTCAAGGAAAAGGACTACAAATGTGTCCGGGCTGATGATTATTCTCTTTATGCTAAGAATGTGAGTATTGATGATTAAAGATAGCTGGGTAAAAACTTTTAGAAAAGAATTTGACTCAAATTTTCTGTCTCTTCTGATCCTATCTATAAAACAGACTAAGCCCATTATTGCAATGGCAATGTTTGAGACAACAGTCTAGTGCCAGGAAAGCATATGCAAAAGAAAATACTAACAGCCTGATTTTGAGAAATGTTCATTCCAGAATCAATTAAACCTTGTCTGAACTGTCTCTTTCCCCTATTGTCCATCCTTCATATTCTACATCCTTCTTAAAAAAAAAAAAAAAAGTGTTATCACCCTGTGCTTAATTTAAAACCTCTCCTGACTGTCTTGCCTATAAAGAATTAAGTAGATGAAATTCACATTTACTAGATGCCCTAATTATGGATTAAGCACACTTCATCCACAGTGTAACCTAAGTAGCCTCATTTTACAGATGAGGAAACTGAGGTAAACAAAGTTAAATAACTCTTCCGGTTGTGCAGCAGAAAATGGAGGTGCTAGAATTGAAGCCCATTCCAAAATGTATTACGTTGTCCCATTCCAAAATGTATTACGTTCCCATTACATCAGTTTTTCTCATTGGGATAGGGATGTTTACAATCAATTGGGGAACTTTTCAAAATGCACAAGCTGTTATTACAACAAACTGAAACATTTTGAGGAAAGACAACTAAATGAGAGAAAAATAGTAGAGAGTCCAAAAACAAATATATGAATCTATGGAAGTCAGAAAACGGTGAAAAATATAGCTGGAGAGTAACTGCTAGTCCTCAGATTAGAACCAAGAGAAGGGCAATCTGTTTTATTCTTCTCCAGGAAAACACTGGTGTGGTTGTTGTGAAGACCCATCTCCACCTTCTGGTGGCAACTTACACTGAGGGCATGTATCCTAGTGTCTGTGTGGAAGCCACAGAGAAGCTGGGTAAGTCTGTCTCCCAATTCCTATCTTCGTACCCTAGGGTAGTGGAGTCTTCTGACTGCAAGTGACAGAGACCCAGTTCAAATCAGCTAAGACAGAAAGAAGGAATTGACTGGAAGAACACTAGGGTTCCTTACATAACCACCCGCTGGAAGGATGGAGTCCAGCTGAGCCGCAGGGAAAATGGATTCCATTTTCCCTGGAACACTGCTAGAACTCTTCTCTGGTCTCCTTCTAAGAGGGTCAGGTTTGTTCTGTCCCTCTGTGAACTGCATCCTTTCCTGGGTGGTATCATGGCCAAGACTCACATTCTCCCTCTAAATTTCTTTTAGGACACGGATTTGACAACTCTCGGATCACATAGTAGTCACATAGCTTAGCACATAGTAGTCACTCACCATTGTTTATGGAATGAATAAACAGATGAATTATATTGTGGTGCTCATTTGCTGCTCATGAATAATAACCATGTTCTGTTCCTTTCAGGAGAATATCTAAGAAGAAAAGGAAATTAAGTTATCAGAGGACTATGAAAGACCGCTTTTATATTTTAGAAGAAAACTATAGATCCTAAAGAAAACATGATGCCTTATTTTGTTGTTGAAAAACACTAGACAGAAGATACCGAAAAGGCAGAATGAGTTAAGGGAGCGAATCAAGAGGTTCTCTTTTTTAATTAGAATTATTTGATTGATTTTACTTGTTTTTTTTTTTTTAAGTGTTGGTCATTGGCATGAGTGTAAGAGCACTGACTGGTTCACATGGTGTATCCATTGGGAGCAATTATACTATTTTCTCTGCTTTTATATTTTTTTATACTTTCTTATTTATTCTTAATTATAGTAAAATATATATCACATAAAATTTATCACCTTAACCACTTTAATCATCCAGTTTAGTGGCATTAAGTGCATTCATTTTGTTATGCAAACATCACCAATCATCGATCTCCAGGGCTCTTTTCATCTTGCAAAACTGAAACTCTGAACCCATCAAACATTAACTCTCTATTCCCCTCTCCCTCCAGTCCCTGGCAACCACCATTCTACTTCCTGACTCTATGAATATGACTACTCTAGTTACCTCATATAAATGGAATCATACACTATTTGTCCTTTTGTGACTGGTTATTCATTTGGCATAATGTCTTCAAGGTTTATCCATGTTGTACTATGTGTCAAAATTCACATCTATTTTAAGGCTGGATAATATTCCTTGTACATTTATACCACATCTAGTTTATCCATTTCATCTATCAATGAACACTTGGATTGTTTCCACCCATTGGCTGTTGTGAATATGCTGCTATGAACATGCGTGTACAAATATCTATCTGTTCAAGTCCCAGCTTTAAGTTATTCTGAGTAGATATCTAGAAGTGGAAATGCTAAATCATACGGTAATTCTTTTTTTCTTTTCTCTTCTTTTTTCTTTTTTTGAGGAACTGCCATACTGTTTTCCATAGCAGCTGCACCATTTTACATGCCTATCATCAGTACAGAAAAGGTTCCGATTTCTCCACATTTTTGCCAACAGTTGTTTTCTGGTTTTTGATAATTGCCATCCTAATAGGTATGAAGAGTTATCTCATTTTGATTTGCATTTCTCTAATGATTAGTGATGTCGAGCATCATTTCATATGCTTATTGGCCATTTGGATATCTTTGAAGAAATGTCTATTTAAGTCTTTTGCCCATTTTTTAATTAGGTTGTTTGGGGGGTTTTGTTGTTGTTGAGTTATAGTTCTTTATATATTTTGGATAGTAATCCCTTATCAGATGTGCCATTTGAAAATACTTTCTCCCATTCCATAGGATGCCTTTCTACCCTGTTGATAGTGTCCTTTGAGGCATAAAGTTTTAATTTTGATATAGTCCAATTTACCTATTTTTTCTTTTGTTCCTGTGCTTTTGGTGTCATATCCAAGGTCTTCTTGTTTTCTTCTAAGAGTTTTGTCATTTTAGCTCTTATATTTAGGTCTTTGATCCATTTCGAGTTAATTTTTGCACATTATATAAGGTAAGCATTCAATTTCATTTTTTTCCATTTCAAAGTTTTACCAAAAAGTTATTTTAAAGTTATTAAGAAGTGCTTTCTACCCATATGCCTAACCTACCACCCCTCATCATTTTATCCCATCACTTAGCACAATGTTTATCAAACAGTGGGCATTCGATTATTATCTATGAACAAATTGGATGAGTATATAAGGAAGGGAGGAAGGGAAGAAGGGAAAGAAGAAGAAACAGACTGGAAGTGGTGTGAGCACTCTAGCCCATGCTAACGGCCTAGTTCCCTGAACAGGTCTGCCCTGAGAGCAGCGCCTTACCCAGGTAGTGCCCAGAGCTGCACAGGCCCCACTCCATTCTCAGTAGCCTGAACATCACAGAACCTCTTTAGAATTGAGAATCATTCTTGGGACCCTAAAATAAGTCATTCTTGGGTCATAGTTAAAGAGCTGGGTAGAACAGGTGCTGTTTTCCCAC